TGCCCTGGACTACCAGTGCAATGGCTGCAACCATTACCCTGGTAGTGTGAGCAGAGAGTCCCACTGGATCCTCCTTACACCTTTGCTTTCATAGACCTGCCTAAAAGACTAGTCTAAGCCACCTAGAAACAGTATGTCTGGAAGCCCTGCAATGTTTCTTGGCTCCCAAAAGCAAAACAAAAAAAAAAAGATCAGTCTAAGTTCTTTGGTAGACTGAAAGTATTGCATAACACCTTCTCACACGTATGATGTAAAAGACCTCTTCCTGCTTGATGTATGGGTTAGGGTGAAAAAAGGGGAGAACGATCTCTTCAGAAGAAACTCCGGATCAGTTTTAAAAAACCAACCAATTCAGAAACACTAGCTTAAAGTGTTACTAAACCCACAACAGTAAAAGAAGTCTGTATATGCAGTAAAGCATGCTTGTTATACTCACTGTGAAACCTAAGGGGTTAATCCTCTGCATTGTGTAAAAAGGCTGTTTGATCCTGTCTTCCCTATCCCTCCTCTTGTTCAAATGTCCACAACTTATCTCCTGATAAGACAGACTGAACCCGTAGCCACATGCACATGCTCAGTTTAGTGTGTATTGCTAGAGAGGTTTTTTTTTTCTTGGGAGAGTGCATATGATCAGCACAGGGCCAATCAGCACTGTCCAGACAGAGGGTCAGGGTTTTTGCATCCTCCTAGGGCAGAAAGAAAACTCCTTCTACAAGCTTTAAACAGTGCTCTGCTGAAGTCACAAGACTGCTCTAACTGCTGATGAAAAAAGGTATTTAGCAGTTTATAGTCACTAAAATAATTGCACTTCTATGTTCTGTGTACTGTAGGAGACCAGATATAGTGAATGCAAGATCCTGGGTTTAGTAACACCAAGTCACTGCCACAAAGAACACCATCTTTAGGGTTAAGGATTTTAAAGAGGTTGATTTCAATGGTTCAAAAGGCCCTTCCGTCATAGACTGTAGCACCACTGCCAGGTTCCAACTTGGAAAGCACTAAGACAAGACCAGCCTTGTCCAAGAAATAACCTTAAAAACAAATTACTAATGGTTCCTTAATTAAAGCCCTCTCTACATAAACATTCAGTGCTGCTGTATGAACATTTAGGGTGGACACTGCTATATCCTATATGGCAACACCATACATTTCCAAATTTTCATGTAAATCGCCCTAGTAACCTTTTTTTTTACTAGACATAAGAGTGACCACAAGGCGACCCGAAAACCCTTTCTCATTCAGCAACTGTTTCTCAAAAACCAAGCCACCAGATTGAATTTGTTGACCTGAGAAAGGAAAACAGGGCCCTGAGATGGAAGATTTCTCTTGTGAGGCAACATGGTTTCCACTGATAGTTTAAGCAAAGCCGAAAACAAAACCCTCCTGGCTCAATAAGAAGTGATCAAGATCAGTGAGATACTTTCCCCTTGAAACTTTCTGAGTGTTGCTGGAATTAGAGTGAGTGGGAGGAAAAGGCATTACTGCCAAGTCTGAGCCAAAAGCATCCACCCCCAATGCTCTGTCCTGCCTTCCCAGACAGAAAAATACTGGCACTTTTGCATTTTCTTTTGCAGCAAACAGGTCTACTTGAGGCTTACCCCACCTTTCCTTGAGTGATTTAAAGATCTCCTGATCCAACACCCACTCTGATTCCTTTAACTGGTGCCTGCTGAGAAAGTCTGCAAGCTAATTTACAGTGGGTATACAAAAGAAATCAGCCCCCTTTAAAATAATCACATTTTGTTGCTTTGCAGACTGAAATTAAGACAGAGCTTCTGTTTTATCCTGCTGTATAAACAAAATCACCAAGTTAAAAAAAAGGATTACCCCCTTGTGTCAGTATTTTGTTGAACCACCTTTTGTTTTAATTACAGCCTTTAGTCTGTTGAGATATGTCTCTATTAACTTTGCACATCTAGACTTTGCAACATTTGCCCACTCTTCTTTGCAGAACTGCTCAAGTTCAGTTAAATTTGATGGTGACCGTTTGTGGACTTTAGTCTTCAAGTCATTCCACAGATTGTCAATGGGGATCAAGTGGGGGCTCTGACTAGGCCATGCAAGGACATTCACCTTTCTCTCCTTCAACCACTCTGTGGTCATTTTTGCTGTGTGCTTTGGGTCATTTTCATGTTGGAAGGGAAACCCAAATTCCCATTAACAACTTTCTGGCAGAGGGCAGATTTTACCCCATTTTCCCTTCTATTCTGACAAGTGCTCCAGTCCCTGCTGCAGAGAAACATCCCATAATAGGATATTACCACCTCCATGCTTTACTATAGGAATGGTGTTATTTGGATGGTAAGCTGTATTGGATTTCTGCCAGACATATTTAGTGTTGAGGCCAAATCATTCAATTTTACCACAACACCTTTTTCCAGAGTCTTCAAGGTGCATTTTGGCAAAGCTCAGTTGTGACTGTATGTGGCCTTTCTTGAGGAGTGGATTTTTTTTTTAAAGCCCACCCATACAAGCCACATTTGTGAAGAATTTGCAATATTGTTGTTACATGCACACATTGACCACTCTTTGTCAAACTGCTTAAGAGTTGCTGTAGGTCTCTTAGTAGCCTCTCTGACCAGTTTCCTCCTGGCTCTTTCTCCAGTGTGGAGCAACGTCCTAATCCAGGGAGGGTTTGTATTGTACCAAATACCTTCCACTTTTTAATACGTAGATGTCACTGTGCTTCTAGGCAATGATAAAGCCTTTGGAATTTTTTTTTGTATCCATCTTGACCTGTGCACAACTTCATCATGGAGATCTTTTGACAGTGCCTTGCCACCCATAGTTGATAGTTTGCTTCAGTTGCACCTCGAGGGACTGAGATGATCCAGGAAAGCTCTTTTCATGCTGAGCTATTCAAAATAACCACAGCTGATCACAGTTGAAAGTCCAATTGCTTAGTGTGACATTGAGAACGTGATAAGCTAACTTGACTGAGTTTACAAGTAATTTTTAGGAGGAAGTGATCCTTTTCCACAAGTAATAAAAAAAAAAATTAAAAAATTAAATAAATAGTTACACCGAAGCACATAATATCCCCCCCAAAAAAACTGGGAGGGCCCCCCACACATATATGCATGTACCAACGTAAAACGCACACGTCAGGGCGCCTAGGCTTGAAAATGTCAATTGCGACACACGTTTCATACCGCCACGCACACCAGAGTGAGAACAATCATTTTAGAACCAGACATCCTCTGTAACGCTAAACTGATGACCTATAGGGGTTTATGAAGTGTTGTCTAGAAGCTTGACGCAATTTCATAAGAGCACACAAATTTAAGGTATAGCATGTTGGGTATCTATTTACTTGGCACAACCTGCTCTTTTCTATTTTACCAAAACTTTGGGTCATTTATTGTGTTTGTTTGCTATAAAATTTTGCATTTCCTAGACATTTGAAATAATATCGTGTAACATACAAAATTGGAATTACCACTATGTTATTCTCTAGGGTGTCTGCTTTCAGAAAATATATCATATTTTGGGCATTTCGTGTAATCTTAAGGCCTAAAATGGTTTATTTAAACGTGTGCAAAAAATTTAAAAATGGCTCTGGCAGTGAAAGGGTTAAAGGGGGTACAATTCTTTTTCTATACCCACTGTAATTCTCTCTTCAGATGTTCTCTGCAGTGTGTCCATCTAGGCCAGAGGCAACACTAAAACTGAAGGGTCTGACTGGAATCAAGCCTGTATAGTACAATGGTTCCTAGGAAAAAGGGGGAGCTTCACTCAAGCTGCCTATAAATAATAAAGTGCAAATAGTGTAAATCACACAAGCTACACTAAAACAATACGTTAAATATGTGAAAAAAACAAAGCAGGAATGAAATCCCCATTCAAACTATGTAAACAATTGTGCATTATCACAGAGAAGCAATGTGTCCAGGTATTAAAAAGTTACATACAAATAAAGTCTCTCAAATAGCAACAACATATGATAATGTAACTATAGTTCTTCAATTCTTATGACCTCTCCACCAATATATAACCACCTCCATGACTGCACTGCAAATCACTCTGTAATCACTTTTTCTAGGAAAGTGGTCAAGGTCTGTCTTAAAACACTCACCAGAAATATTTGGCCTTGAACTCAACGTCTATATGTGCTTGATGTAAAACTCAGTGGGAATCCCCTAGTAAACCTCTGCGTACACCTTTGCATCTCTCCTTATAATTGTGTATTTAAAAGTGGAACTAAAAGGTGTACTTACCAATCCAACAGTCGTGAGTCGGCACTGGCTTCTTCTGAGTGCCAATATTCAGGCCTCTTCACTGTCTGGTGGGGATGACATCACTCCTGGTGATGGCCTGGTGATGTAAGCTGAAGTAAGCTGAGCTGCACATGCACAGCTCTCAGTTTACAGCACCAGAGAAGATAGCAAGAGCAGGCAGGTAGGGGTATTTTATTGCAGAAGAGACAACGTATGCTTTTATGCAATAAAAGCCTGCCTGCTTGCTGTTTCTTACAGTGGAACTTCAGTTCAGTTTTGTGGGGGGGGTTCCTACACACAATTAGAAGTGGTAACAGACCACTTACCATTTTCTATGGAACTGCTCCCCTCTAGCTGTGAGCAAGATGTTGATCTTTTTGCTAGTGAGGTAAATTATTCAGAATTCAGGGCCAGTGAGGGAGTGAGTCCATCAGTGCAAATGGTTCACTTAAATGGGCTATATTGCTACTAGCAATGTGTTGCCAGTGGCAGAATCACACGTTTGATATCTTCCCTAAAAAGGCAGAGAAACATTTTTTTCTCCCCACTACACAGAAAGCAAAACTAAAACGGATCCAATTGTGGGAGGGTGAAGAAAAAATTTCAATGTTCTTTTCAAGGCATTTCAAAAAGTAGAAGTTAATTAGTGCATGTAAGGAGAGAATTCTTGTATTTCCAAAGATATACTTTTCTAAATCATAGTCACTGTGGTGAAATGTTTATATGAAGAGCAAAACAGGTGATCAGAATGTGTGCTCTGGCACTAATGAATATAATACTTACTGCATCCATGTGCAGTATGACACTTGCAATTGACTGAAGAAAGTTTGGCAATTGGTACACATTGTCCTCTTCAGTGTCAGATTCTGTGAGGTACATTTGCTTGCAGCGTTGAATAAGTTCAACATACATAAAATCCACATCCTTTGTATTCACTGCTTTACATGGCTTTAAAAAAGGAAAAAAAAAACAGTTGTACATAATTTTTTTAGGAATCAAAACCAGGAAGTAACTGAAGAAATGTAAAAAAGGTTAAAAACAAGTTAGTATAATATACTTTCCTATCAGTTTACTAATATTAGCAGCATAAAAATTAAAAATAGTCAATGTTGATTGAGAGAGTTCCGCCTTAAAAGCAACTGAATTTTTTTTTTTTTTTTTTAAATAATCAAACGTTATACTCAACTGCTTTGTGCAATGGTTTCGCACAGAGCAGCCCCTATCCTCCTCCCGCATCCCCTCTCTACTCCCCCCAGCTGAGTCCCCTAAAGCAACCTGCTTGCTATGAGGGAATTAACAAGGACTCAATCCTGAGCTGCAGTCTGTGGATCTATTGACACACACACAGCACGGATCAACCCTGAAAATGCAGGTAAAAAAAAAAAAACAAAAAAAACTTCTACCTTCTACAACTACTTTAACTACTAGAGCCAATAAGTCTATGAGATGGTCCCGCCACAGATTTTATACATGGGGAACAAACTAGGGTTCCTTTTAGCTAACAAACTTAACCCCAAGACTCAATTTCAAGCTTTATCTAGACTTAACCCCTTTTCGCCTAAAACAAATTTTAATGCCCAAGCACAGTTTTGCAACTTTGCCATTTGTTAGCAAAACCGTACATATCACCACAACTATTTTGCACATCCAGGTGGATTATACCTTGTTTTTTTTTCAGGACAAATTGGGCTTTCATTTAGTAGTAAATGGTAATAGATATCTCCTGATTTTTTTTTTTATTTTCAAAGGAAAACTGGCCCAAAATAGCATAGTAAAAAAAATATATATATATTTTTTTAATTTAGCTGTAGATTTCTTGCTACTATCATAACCTACCACCAAAAAACAACCCAAAATAATTTCTCCTGCTCCTGAGGATCACAGCAGTACCACATATGTGTATGTTAGTTGCTGTTTGTACCCGTAGTATGGCCCAGAAATAATAGTGGGCATTTTGCTTTTCTTTTTTTTCCATCCTGCCACTAACAGACACTGATACGAATTTAAAAATGATAAAAAAAAATCCTGACCAAAAAAATAAATACTGACCCTGACCCCTGACTACAACCCCAACACTAAGCATGGCACTGCCATAGATCAAACCTTTTTATTTATTTATTTTACACACTTCTTTTTCTCTCTGAAAGGACAGAGAAAAATACAACGTATCCCTCTCCTCCATTCAGACAGAGAAAACAAGGGGGTGGGCTTCACAGTGACTGATCACTGTGATAGCCAATCAGAGACCGTCACAGCGATCAGGTGACCCTAAATCGGGAGTTCTGGGTCCCAATCGATAGTCCAGTGGAGCCACATATTTGCGTACAGTCTGCGTGAAGGGGTTAAACTTAGGGATGACACCTCATTCCAAAATCCACAGCTAGTCTTACGGAAGTTTCACATTTACTATACTAATATATTCAGTGCCTTGAAAATTTATTCATACCTCTTTAAATTCTCCACATTTTGTCATGTTACAATCAAAAACAAAAATTTATTTTATTGGGATTTATGTGATAGATCAACACAAAAGTGGCACATAATTGTGATGCGGAAGGAAAATGATAAATGGTTTTCAAGATGCTTTACAAATAAATATCTGAAAAGTGTGGCGTGCATTTGTATTCAGCCCCCCACCCCGAGTCAATACTATGTAAAACCACCTTTCGCTGCAATTACAGCTGCAAGTCTTTTTGGGGACGTCTCTACAAGCTTTACACATCCAGAGAGTGACATTATTGCATATTCTTCTTTGCAAAATAGCTCAAACTCCATCAGATTGGATGGAGAGTGTGTGTGAACAGCAATTTTCAAGTCTTGCCATAGATTCTCAATTGGATTTAGGTCTGGACTTTGACTGGGCCATTCTAACACATGAATATGCTTTCATCTAAACCATTCTATTGTGGCTCTGGCTATATATTTAGGGTCGTTGTCCTGCTGGAAGGTGAACCTGTGCCCCAGTCTCAAGTCATTTGCAGACTCTAACAGGTTTTCTTCTAAGATTGCCCTGTATTTGGCTCCATCCATCTTCTTATCACCTCTGACCAGCTTCCCTGCCCCTGCTGAAGAAAAGCATCCCCAAATGATGCTGCCACCATGTTTCACGGAAAGGGATACGTCCACCACTTTTCTTGGAAAGGGATATATCCCCGAAATGCGCCAGGGAGCCGACCGCACCACCATTCGGACACTCTGCCATTATTGTGGGCCATCATTGTGGTGTTACAGGCTTTTGCATGTACTTCATATTGTATGTATTTTGTTGTTTTAATTTTTAATAAACCTTGGATAATGTGCTAGGTGTTTGTGCCACCTGTGTGGTTCTTTTCCAGTTTTTGATGATTTCCCAGTCCGAGGAGGGCTGCACCATCAAGAGTTTATCCATAAGCCATCAACTCATTGGACTCCCTAGACTTTTCCCGGCATTGACCCCTTTTTTGAGGAGCTGGAGAGATAGTGCTGTTTATCCAGTTTGGACTCTATTTGCTAAGTAGGTGATTTCTGAAGGTAATTGGTTCCACTAGATTTTAGTTAGGGGTATCAGAGTAAAGGGGGCTAAAAACAAATGCACGCCAAGCTTTTCAGATATTTGTAAAAAAATTTCAAAACCATTTATCATTTTTCTTCCACTTTACAATTATGTACCACTTTGTGATGGTCAATCACATAAAATCCCAGTAAAATACATTTACATGTTTGGTTGTAACGTGATAAACGTGGAACATTTCAAGGGGTATAAATACTTTTTCAAAGCACTATACCAGAACCCATTTGCTAATACACAGTAATATATAGACAAGTTTTTTTTGGAATCTAAACCTTCCAACTCTAAAAAAGCAACACACAGACCTTATAAAACAAGCATTTATTTACAAGAGCCGATGTCAGGACCTGGTTGTGAACCTGTGACCTCTGCTGTGTCTGGCAGGGTCTCTTCTTGCTGAGCTATCTAAGATGCTGGACACCACCTTGTGTCTTACCCATTGGGTCTTGTTTCTGCTGAACTTTGATCTTTTTCCTCCTATAAATTTCCTGTTTAAGTTATGCCTTTGTATGTCCTTTTTGCCAGATTATTGTGCTCACTCCAGCCAATATCTTGCTCTCGTCATTCCTGTTGCCATCCATATCTCCGCTACAACTCGTTACTGACCTTTGGCTTGTTCCTTGACTACTCTTCTGCTTAATCCCAACCTGAGACCACGTGTTACTGACCTTTGGCTTGAGTACCAACTACTCTTTTGCTTGATCCCTACCTGCTATATCTGCTACTGGACTCCATCCTGTTCATTTCCTGGTGGGGCCATCCTGAGGACCATGACCTCATGCTAACATGTAGCAAAAGTCATCTCCACCATCAGAACCTCTAGTGAACACCGGTTAGTGCTTTGACTCTGTACTTCTGGGGAGCCTGTGTCATCTGCCAAGGTGATCTGCTGCTGCATGTATCCAGCTGGTCAGTGGGAGCCTCTCTACTGCTATAGCTACTGGCCTCCGATCCTGACCCATGACCATGACAGCCAAAATACAAAAGATAATTAAAACTCTTAAGCTAAATAAATCATCTGGCCTGGATGGGTTCTTGAACGGTTATCAAAAGACATTTTCAGATCTATTGACTTCTCATTTAGCCTCTTTCTTTAATCATTTGCGAGATGTCAACAATCTCAAACAAAAAGAAAATAGAGCCTTTATTCCTGTGACAAAGATCAATAAAAGGATATAAATTCTCATTAATAAATATGCAGAGAGACACCCAACAAGGATGCCCTCTATCACTGCTACTTTTGTGCTGTGAGGGAAACCCCCACTGTTGCATTAAAGTGTTACTAAACCCACAACAGTAAAATCAGTCTGTATATGCAGTAAATCATGCTTGTTATACTCACTGTGGAGGGGTTAATCCTCTGCACTGTGTAAAATGGCTGTTTGATCCTGTTTTTTCTGCCCCTCTTCTTGTTCAAATGTCCACCTGATAAGACTGAACCAGTAGCCAAATGAATATGCTCAGTTTAGTGTGTATTGCTAGAGGTTTTTTTTTTCTTGGGAGAGTGCATGTGATCAGCACAGGGCCAATCAGCACTGTCCAGGCAGAGGGTCAGGGTCCTGCATCCCCTCATGCTCCCCGTAGTTTGGGAGGATTCTAAGATGAAATTCTTTGCTTCATATGTGATAATAATAGATCTAAAATTAACAAATTGATGCTATACACAACTACAGCTTGGGGAGCTATGAAATCGAAATCTACTTGCATGTCACCATGCTGCAAAAACAGCTCAGCTAGCAGACACCATTACAAAGGATCCCCCCACCCCAGTGCGTTTCCATAGAAGTTTTGTCCTGCTCCCCATGACCATTTGATCCCCAATATGGATTCCTAGCATACTGTGTCCCCCATCATATGTCCCACTTTCCATTTGGGACAGAGAGCCAAGAGGCAAATCCAATCCCACCACATACAGTTGTGTCCAAAATTATTCAACCCCCACTGAAATTGAGTGTTTTGGCCAGTTTGACATTGCTTTTGATCATTCAGTCATCTTGCTTACATTTACATTAAAGAGGCACTTGTAGGTCAGACAAATATAACATAACAGTTATAATGAAATAACCACAAATGTCTTTTCTGTGCTCACAGCATTATCAGTTTTATTCAACCCCCAAGTGACATTCAATCTTAGTACTTAGTACAGCATCCTTTTACAGTTATAACAGCTTTTAAACGTGAAGCATAGCTTGACACAAGTGTCTTGCAGCGATCTACGGGTATCTTCGCCCATTCTTCATGGGCAAAGGCCTCCAGTTCAGTCACATTCTTAGGCTTGCGCACTGCAACTGCTTTCTTTAAGTCC